GTTAAAGCAAAACATAAGCCTCTAAATAAATAAAATTATAAATGAAATATTACAACTGACACCACATAATAAAAAGGATCATAAAAGACAACTGTGAACAATTATAAGCCAACAAAATGAAAAACCAACAATAAATAGATAAATGCCTAGAAACATACAAACTAGCAAGGGTGAATCATAGAGAAATAGAAAACCTGAAAAGACTAAAAGACTAAAGAAACAGAATTAGTAATCAAAACTTTCACAACAGATGGCATCATTTCTAAATCCTACCAAACATTAAAGAAGAATTAATGCCAATGCTTCTCAAATCCTTCTAAAAAAAATTGTATAGGAGGGAATATTCCCAAATTCATTTTACGAGGCCTATAATATCCTGACTCCAAAACCAGACAAGGACACTATGAAAAAAAAAATTACAGCCAATATCTCTGATGAATATCTTATAGATGCAAAATCCTCAACAATATACTCGCAAATGGAATCAAACAGCATGTAAAAGGATCATACAAAATAATCAAGTGGGATTTATCCCTGGAATGTGTGCATGTTTCAACATACAAAACCCACTAAATTCAATACATCGTATTAATAGAATAAAATATAAAAATCATTTGATCAAGTTTGGGTGTGATGGCTCACTCCTGTATTCCCAGCACTTTGGAAGGCTGAGGCTTACTGATCACTTAAAGTCAAGAGTTTGAGACCAGCTTGGCCAATCTGGTCACACCCCATCTCTACTAAAACTACAACATTATCTGAGTGTGGTGGCATGGGATCACAGCTACTTGGGAGGCTGAGGCACAAGAATCATTTGAACCCAGAAGCAGAGGTTGTAGTGAGCTGAGATTGCACCACTATGCTGCAGCCTGGGAGACAGAGTGCGACTCCATCTCAAACAATGTTTTTATTATTATTATTTCAGGAGACACAGACAAAATATTTGACAAAATTCAACACCTTTCTATGCTAAAAAAAAAACTTTCAACAAATTAGGTAAGGAAAGTATGTACGTCAACATAATAAATGCCGTATATGACAAGCCCACAGGTAACATCACAGTCAACAGCGAAAAGATAAAATCCTTTCCTCTAAGATCAGGAACACCACCAGGGTGCCCACTCTTTTTTTAATCTTCTTTTTGTGGAGAATGGGCTCTCACTGTGTTTCCCAGCCTGATCTTAAGCATTTGGACTCAAGCTATCATCCTGCCTTTGCCTACCTAAGTGCTTGGATTAAAGAAACCAGCTCCTAGGGAGGCAAAGGCAGAAGGATATGAACCATCATGTCCAGCCCCAGAATGCCAACTCTTGCCGCTTTTCAACATAGTACTGCAAGTCCTAGCCAGAGCAAATAGTAAAAAGACATAAAACTCATCCAGATTGGAAGAGAAGAAGTAAAATGATCTCTGTTTGCAGATGACATGATGCTATATAAAGAACATCTTAAATAATCCACCAAGAATGTTAGAAGTAATAAATGAATTCAGTGAAGTTGCAGGATACAAAATTAACACTAAAAAAGTCACCTTTTAGGCTAAGCATGGTGGCTCACGCCTGTAATTCCAGAACCCTGAGAGGCCAAGAGAGGTGGATCACTTAAGGTCAGGAGTTTGAGACCAACCTGGCCAATATGGCTAAATCCTATCTCTACTAATGAACCTGGGAGGCAGAAGTTGCAGTAAGCCATGATTGTGCCACTCCAGCCTGGGCAACAAAGTGAGACCCTGTCCCCCCCCAAAAAAAGTCATCTTTTTATAACAATGATTAAGAAAATGATTCCACTTACAATAGCATGAAAAAATACTCTAGGAATAAATTTAGCCAATGAAGTAAAAGATCTGTACATTGAAAACTATGAAACATTGATGAAAGAAACTGAATAAATCAGAAGACATCTCAAGTTTATGGATTGGGAAAATTAATATTGTTAAAATGCCCATAGTACCCAAAGTGATCCACAGATGTAATGTAATCCCTATCAAAATTCCAGTGGCATTTTCACAGTAATAGGCCAAAAAAAAACCTTAAAATTTGTATGGAACCACAAAGACCTTGCATAGCCTAAGCAATGTTTAACAAGAAGAACAAAGCTAGACGCATCACACTTTCCAATTTCAAAATGTATTACAAACCTATAGTAATCAAAACAGTATGGTTCTGGCATTAAAAACAGACATGCAGGCAGATGGAAAAGAAAAGAAAGCCTAGATTTTAAAAACAGACATGCAGGCAGATGGAACAGAAAAGAAAGCCTAGTAATAAATCCACGTTTATGGTCAACTGATCTTTGACAAAGATATAACTGTGTAATGTGTTTACTCATTGTGTAATGGATAAAAGCTAGTCTTTTCAATAAACGGTTGGGAAATAGTGGATATCCATACACAGAAGAATGAAATCAGACCCTTTTCTCACTGCATATACAAAAGTCAACTTAAAATGTATTTAAGGCTTAAATGTAAGACCTGAATATATAAAACTACTGGAATAAAACAAAGGAAAGTTTGTTGACATTGGTCTTGGCAATGATTTTTGGATATAACACCAATGGCATAGTCAGCCAAAGGAAAAATAGACAAGTGAGATTGCATGAAACTGAAATGCTCTTAACAGTAAAGGAAATCATCAATAGCGTGAAGAGGAAACTTACAAAATGAGAGAAAGTATTTGCTAACTACATCTGATAAGTGATTAATATCCAACATATGTAAGACTCTTAAACAATCCAAAGCAAGAAAACAGCCTGATTAAAAAATGGGTAAAGAACCTGAGTTGACGTTTCTCCAAAGACATATAAATAGTCAACGGGTATACAAAAGGATCCTCAACTTCACTGATTATCAGAAAAATACAATCAAAACCACAATGAAAGAGCACACATATTTAAAATCTCAAACAATACAAAGCAAGAAAACAGTCTGATTAAAAAATGGGTATAGAACCTGAACTGACATTTCTCCAAAGACATACAAATAGCCAATGGGTATAGAGAGGATGCTCAGCTTCATTAATTATCAAAAAAAATAACAATCAAAATCACAATTAGCACCTCACAGGTGTTAGAATGGCTAATAACAGAAATATAAAAGATAGTATCTGTTGGTGAGGATGTAGTGAAAAGAGAATCCTTGTACATTGTTGGTACAAATGTAAATTTTTATAGCCATTATGGAAAACAGAATGAAGCTTTCTGAAAAAGTTTAAAAAAAGAATAGAGCTGCCATATGATCCAGTGATGCAGCTTCTAGGTATATATAAAATGAAATGAAATTTGTATGTCAAAAAGACATTCATATTTCCATGCTTATTACAGCATTAGTTACATTACTTAGGATATAAAAACAACCTGTGTCCCTCAGTAGATAAATAGATAAAGAAAATAGGGTATACACATGATATATTATCTAGTCATAAAAAGAAGGAAATCTTGTCATTCATGACAATGAGGATGAAACTATAGGGCATTAAGTGAAGTAAGCCAGACACAGAAAGACAATTACTACCTAATCTAAAACAGTCAAATTTAGAAGAATGTAGAATAATAATTGTCAAAGGTTAGAAGTTGGGGAGAATGGAGACATTAATCAAAGGGTAGAAAATTTCAGGTATGCAGGATGAATAAATTCTGGAGATCTAATGTGCAGTATTGTGACTATAGCTAATACTATCTTGTATGTGTTTGAAATTTGCTAAGAGGGTAGATGTTAAGTGTTTTCACCACAAACACAAAAGATAACTTTGTGAAGTGATGGCTATTTTAATCATCTACATTCTCCCCAACTTTACCAAAGATCAGTTGACTGTAAATATGTGGATTCATCTATAGGCTTTCAATTCTGTTCCATCCACTTGTATGTCAGGTTTTTATGACAGTGTTACACTCTTTTGATTACTGTAGCTTTGTAATACATTTTCAAATCAGGAAGTGTGATGCCTCTAGCTTTGTTCTTCTTGTTCAAGCTTGCTTTGCCTATTACAGATACTTTATGGCTCCATAACAATTTTAAGATTGTTTTTTCTATAACTATAAAAATATTATTAAAATTTTGATAAGGATTACATTAAACCTGTAGATTGCTTTGGGTAGTATGGGCTTTTTAACAATATTAATTCTTCCAATCCACAAAGATGGGACATCTTTCCATTTATTTATGTCTTCTTCAATCTCTTTCATCAATGTTTCATTTTTTTTAGTGCCTCGATCTTTTACCTCCTCTGTTAAGTTTATTCCTAAGTAGTTCATTTTTTTGATGCTATTATAAATGGGATTACTTTCTTAAATACAATCCTAATCTTAAATACAGAGTAATGATTATGTTTTTGCCAAACAATCTTAAATTGTTTCTCACATAGTTTATCAATATATAGAAATGTGAGTGATATTTATGTTTATTTTATACTCTGCAATTTTACTGAAATGTTTATGAGTTCTAACATTTTTTGATGAATGATTTAGAATTTTAGGATTTCCTATATATAACATAATGTCATCTACAGACAGAGACAATTTTACTTCTTTTCCAATTTGAATGTGTTTTCTTTCCTTTTTCTGATTATTGTTCTGGCAAGCAGGCTTGACATTTTTCTTAATTGATTCTCCAGACCTGTGTCAGCAAACTATAGCCTGAGGACAGCTTGTGTGTCTGCCTATTTTTGTGAATAAAGATTTATGAGAACATGGCCAAGCAAGCCCATTTGTTTATGTATTATGTGTGGCTGTTTTCATACTACTAAGGCAATGTTGATCAGTCACACAAAGTTAAGGTATTTACTATTGCTTACTTTTTGAAAAAATTATCCCAGTTCATACTCTATTGCATGTTGTTTATACATTTCTTGTCACCTCATTCTATTTAATATAATGTTAGTGACTTTATTTGTCTCATCCCTTGAGTTGAGCTATGTAAGAGAAGCACAGTAGAAGCCCTTAAAACCTAAAAGATGCGGCTTAAAGAGTGGTCCACTTCAAGACAATGTCCTGCAGACCCCCCTACTCACCTGTTGTCTTTTTCATTACGTGGAATAGATGGATATCAGTACATCTCTATGAGCAGGTGTATTATATAAGTTTGTCGTCTTCTGAATCTCCTGTAACAGAACAAGGCCCATCGTCAAGCATATGTGTGTATGTTTTGACTGCTTCTTAAATCTCTTTATTTCCTTGGTTTTCTTTGTCATGAGTGTATTTGACCACATGGTATGGCAACAAAATGACTGGGTAACATAAATCCAGTTACAGGTTTGCTTTTTCATATGATGACTGCTATTGAGTTTTAATTTTTTGGCAGAAAAATTTGATTTTAATTTTACCAAATTAATCTGATTGTTTTTTCCCATTGGCAAAAATATAATCCTTACTCTAGAGTGAGTAATGTTTAGTGAATAACTTCCATTTGAATATGTGTAATCACAGCAAGAAGTGCCTTCTTCAGCAGAACCCTTTATTTAAAAGACAGGAGTTATGCAGTATAGGAAGAGATGAATGTCTACATGCTCTGGCTGAAAGAAGAGAGAGTGCTTAGCTTGGACCTTCTTCCGACTGCCTATGCAGAGACACCACAGGCCACCTGTGGAATCCCCAGCACTATGTAGGGCACAGTTTTGAATCTATTAGAGCTAAAATTTAAATGAAATTAGTAAAATCTCTATTGGGGAATGGCATGGATTTCTGTGGTTCAGTGTCTAGAGTTACATGGTAAGAAACACTGGCAGGACTTTATTAAAAAAATAGTGAACTGGTTTCAGGTTTGGAAATTTCAAAAAACATTTAAGTACCATTTATCAAAAAAGTCAAACCATTTCTCACCTTCCCATCACTTATGGATATAATCAAAATTTTACATTTTGCAGTACCCAACTTGTTAAAAAAGCTATATTTCTAAAAATTCAAGTAACTCATTTTGCAAATGAAGAGAATACAAAGCTCTGCTGAACGGTAATGTGACCCAGAAATAGCATTATCCTCTCCACATATTGGTTTGGCACATTCTTTTACCTTTGAGTAGAAACAAAAATCAAAGTGCTTGGAGCCATTTCTGAATCTTCTGTCATAGTTAAAAGAGCTTTGTCAATTCTATAAAATAGAAACATCTTGTGAAATATTATTTTATTTGTCCTTGACCTTATCGTCATTCTTATATAATAAATATATTACTTATTCTAATACAATTTATTTAATAATGTATATGTGCCTATAATCATAAGGCAATTCTTAGCAAGGTTCCTGGTTACAGCATGTACTCAATAAGCAATCACATTTGTTGTCCTTGTTTGTAATAACTTTAGAGAGACTCAGAAGACCAGTATTTGAAAACAAACGAAGATATACAATACACCCTACACCAAAGTAATACTTTTACCATAGCAGGTTCATAAACAAAAATGGAGGCCTATCCTGCCATCTAGTGGATATATTGGGAAATAAAAAAGTAATTGTTTTTATAGTTTCAAAGGAAATAGCATTACATTTCACAAAAATGTTGCATTTTTCTTAAGAAAATAGCAACTGTTCTCTGTGTTGCTTTCAGCATATTTTGTGAAGATTTATGCAGGTAGGAAATAAAATAATTTTCAGAAATCTTGGAAAAAGTGGGACTTAAGGATTTCTTGAAGAAGCTAAAAAATGTACAGCACTTAATGAATGTTTTCACATATGGAATATGACAAAGTGAAAGTGAGAGAGGAAGGAGAGAAATTGATGTCTTTATCGAGTTGTTTAAAAGAGGAAATAAATAAAAAAAAAACTGCTTAGCCAGTTTTTAAAGCTTAAAACCCTAAGGGAAGATAAAGAATATCTGATGAAAGGAAGTACAGCATTGATGAAGAATTCGACAGCTCTGCAGCTGCTGAGAGCAATGCCTGGCAGTGACAATTTTCTTCAACTTCACTTCAGAGCTGTTGGGTGTTGGTGGGAAGGAGAGCATATTTAAAGAAAAACTTTCAATAAATCGGATGCAAAATGTTTGCATTACCTTGTTAAAGTGAAATAGTGTGTCAAAAGAGTAACATAATACCAAACAAAGTGAATCTGGCCAGTTAGATGTCTCTCGTGTTTCTGCTTGAGTATATGCATAAGATGTACGTGCCATAGACCTGGACCTTAAAATGTTTGTGTAATACTGTATAAAATATGTAGGCGAAAAAACAAATTTACAAAAACTGTTTGAGATTTCAGTATGATTTGAAGCACATTTCTACTAGTACCCATTGAATATGTTTCAACGTGTTTTGCAAAGTAATTTTTTAGGAGGAAAACGGTGAGTAAGACATAGCCTAAACTGTAAAAAATTAACAATAATATGGCATTGATTTTACTCAGGGTGTCAAAATGTGTTTTTATGATTACGTATGTTTATAACTTCGTCACATAAATGACATGAATTTATGGTAATTAAAAAGAACTTGAATTTCAAGGCACTTTAGGAAGATCATCTGCTCCTCTGGTAGCTCTGCCTTTTATCAAGTTGAGGTTCTGGAGTAAAGCACTGCAGATTTCAGACCTCTACCTGAGGAAACTGCAGGACCATTGCTTGTCTGTATTGTTTTACCATATTATTACCATGAGACCACAGTATCGTACTTTATTCTGCCTACCTACCAAAGTGCTATATGTGGATACGCAAATCTAAAGAAGCAGAGAAAGATTCTATTACAAAAGAAAAAAAAATAGTGCATGGAAAAGAAGACTGCCAAATCACCCCTCATTACAGCATACAAAGAGTCATTGTGTGAGCGTTCAAGCTCAGTACCCTCTGCCAGTTCAGCCACTGGCCTGTCTCTTGGGCAGTTTTTGATGGGCCTGCTAGGGCTAGCCTATCAGAAGGAATGAAGGGATTAACAAGAGGAATAGCAGTTTGATATTTTAAAACTTTTGATAGCCAAGTCCATTGGGATAATGATTTCCAGTATGTTTAGGACATTTTGCAGTATCAGATAGGAAAATAGTTCCTCTGTAGCAAGAGGAAGACCGAAAAAGTAAGGACCCTTTGCTTGGGAACAATATTCTTGGGCTAGCCAGAGGTGAGGGCAGATTGAATTCTGATCCAGCTCATTAGTGATTAGTGCTAGAGTCTTAGATCAGAAGAAGGGGAGGATGATAATAAATAGGAATAAAAATAAAATAAAATTGGAACTATTTGCATTGATTTATGAAATGGAGATAATAATTTTTTAGAGCTAACAGCCCCCACTTTCTCCTATTTATAACCTTTTGAAGGGAAGAAAATGAACGTTATTTCATGGAGCAGATAAGCTGGAGGAAATTCACTCTTGCAGCAGCACAGTGGGTTTCTCAGATGGCTGTAGTGACCTAGATATAGTGGGCATAGCTAGGGACGTCCAGCATAAAGTGTGTGAGAAGAAGGACTCCAGAAACTTCTCTGTGACAACCTCCCATTGTGTTACAATAATGTGGGCCTGAGTGTTATAAATTTGCCGTGCTATCTCTTCCCTTTATAAATAGCTCACTGGACCAGTCGCAGACAACTAACCAATGTTTAGCCAATCAGACTCTCTTTTTCAGAAATTTAGAGTTAGAACTACTTCCAACTTGGACCTCATGCTACAATGGCTGGACCTCCAATATATAAACTGGAAAACTACGCTTCATCCATGTTTTTCCATGTGGACAAAGGAGCAGAGAAAGAGTCTGCAGAGGCACAAAGGGAAACAAATGCAAAAGAGGAGTAGAGATGAGAAATACCAAAAGCAATTTCTCAACGGTTTTAAGTCATTAGTTCCAGTTCCTTTCTGTGGGTCACCCGTAATTCCGCCCTTACATTTTATTAGATATCTCTATACTCTTATGATACATTCTTATTTGACTTAAGGAAGGCTAGACAAATATCCGTTTCTTGCACAAAAGTTATCAACCCATATAGTAAGTTTGACTCCACACTGTCTAAATCTAACCATGTAGGCCAGAGGGAGAAAATGTGAAAATCTAGGCTCACAACAGTCTCTTAGACTCCAGAAGAGGATCTGAAATCTGGATGTGACCTAAGGAACTCTATCCTTTAGTCTGGTTCTTCAAAACGTCTAGATGCCCCTCCAGCAGGAAGGTGCCACAGTCTTGGTCTCTTCTTCTCGCCTGTAAGGTACTCTCTGATCCCCTACAGCCCCTTCCTACCCACACACACATAATGTAGGTCAATGAAGTGCACAGAAGAGTTCCAGTACTTATGGGGTTCTTCCTGAAATCCACGGCTGGACCTTGATTCTGGAACAGTGCCTGGTGGGCCCATGGCTTTGATTAGCTAGTGTGCTATTCCTTTCAAGTGATTATATGAAATTGGACCAGGGGAATAGTACTGAAATGTTGATTTGGGGTGACTTTCACATCAGGCACAGGATGAGTTCAGGGCTCTGGGCTACGGGTTCTCCACTGATGAGTACTGGGTTTGAGTTGCATGCGTGGTTCTTCCATCAAATCTTGCCTTCCTGTGATCTGTCTGCATCATGCCAGTGGTCTGTAGGATTGAAGGGTGTGGGGTTGATAGCAGGCCTACACTCCCATGTGTGCCTCTATTGTAGGCATCCAGGACATTAAATCCACTCCTCTTGCTGCATCCAGGCCAGGTATCTAAGAGTCTTTCCAGGATAGCCTTACCTATTTCCTCCAAGCATTTTTCAGACTGTTGCTTCCTAAAGCCTCCAGGCCCTTCTGATCAGTGTCTTCTCTTCTTACTATACATGTGTGATATTGAGCTCTCTCAGATAAGTCTTATACAGTGCCAGGTGAGAAACAGATATTTCTTCTGCAAATAAGACTGCTCTTCTTGCTCCTCTCTTTGTTTAGTCTCCTAACTAGGGATGTGATATGGTCTGAATGCCCCTCAAAAGTCATGTGTTGAAACATAATTGCCAATGTGATAGTACTAAGAAGCAAGGCCTTTAGGAAGTAATTAAATCATGAGGGTAGAGTCCTCATGTAATGGGATTAAGACAATTATAAATGAGGCTTCACAAAGTGTTCATACATTTCATCCTTCAATTCCTCTCACCATGTGAGGACACAGCATCCCTTCCCTCAGGAGTATGCAACACTGTGAGAAGACATCATCTTGGAAGCAGAAAGCAGCCCTCTCTGG